TAAATATACCACGTTAATCTTCTCACATAGGAGAATGCGTTTAAACTTGATCCCACTAATTATGAAGTGTGGGTCCCACTTTTATTTAAGAGTAATATTATTGAAACCAAAAAATCTGATCTAATTTACTAACATAATAATGTGGTTTCATAGGAATCATTGGATCAACACCAAGTTCCAATGTTTGATATAATCTATAGTCAATTCAAAGGTCACAGTTAATTAAATCAACAAATTATGCCAGTAAATTAGGTCCTAATAACATTACTCTTTATTTAAGCCTCAAATTACTCAAATAAACTTGTTTAAAACCTATTTTTTCTACAACTACTAGGTTATCCATCGTGGACGAGTATAGTCTTGTGAGGGTTTTCAGAGACAATACCCACAAACATCACCTTACCATGAAATATTTGAATAATAATTTCATAACACAAATTGCTATCACAATATAAAAACTCTAAACTGCAAACGTTTCCATAAGCATGTCAAAGCAAAATATAAAACTCAAATGAACGTATACACTTATTATATTCCCATATAAACTTGTGTTTAGTGTGAATCAACTCCACCAAGTCACTATTTCATCTAATAATCACCCCTGCAGCTATTAATTATTTGTCTCAATGTCAAACCTCACTAGATTATACACTAATTAAGAATTTTCTCAGCTATTCGCTCAAATATCGCATAAATCTCACCTTGCAAACAAGTTGGAATGATATTGCGGTTCTCCTTGTCACGACGCTTGTTTTAACCCAGTGAGTATTCCCTCCACAGGCAATATAAGTGTAATGAAAGACACTTTTTTTGTTCTTGATATTTCGCACTCGCAGGCAGAAGAGAAGTTAATAAGCAACATATCAAGATTCGTGGTGATTGTTTGGGTGTTCGTGGTGCTGGTGCTAACATCGTGTTACACCGCCAGCTTGACGTCGATGTTAACAGTCCAAAAGCTTCAACCGACGATCACTGATATCAACGATCTGATTCAGAATGGGGAATACGTTTGTTGGGAATACGTTTGAGAGAGAAAGAGTTGGACAAGTCCAAGTTCATTATGTACGTAGAGCACACCTGAACAGTACGATGAAGCCCTCACCAGTGGCAGTAGAAATGGATTGGAGGCGTTGCTGCAATTGTTGACGAGTTCCCTTATATCAAGTTCTTCCTTGCAAGATATTGTAGAAAGTACACCATGGTTGGTCCCACCCCACCTACAAGACTGCAGGCTTTGGATTTGTAAGCCATCTCTCTTTCTCTCCTTTCACTTCAATCCCTCCATCATTGATATGATCTGCATGTTTGCGGAGATATACATCTGTACTTAACAGCTAACAATTGCAAACCCAATAAATATATTTTTTCTCCTTGTTTTTTTTTTTTGGTGCAGGGAGGAGATTTGAACTCATGATCTCAATAAGTCAAAATTTTCATAAAATAAAAAATATCATTAAATCAAAAGCCAATCGGTTCCTTGCCGTTGATGCAAGCATTTCCCCAATATGTGACGTTTCAAGAGCAAGCTTGAACGTGAGAGAGGGAGATAAAATGGCAAGATTTACGCAAGAATGGTTCGGAGATGAAGCTGACTGTCTAGAGCAAGATGGAGCTGTTGTCACCTCGGCTCGTATAGCCTGAAGCTCTAAAGTTTTACGGGCCTTTTCCTCATCGCCAGCCAGCCAGCATATCATCATCTCATCTTCTGCTCTCATCATTTTCTTATTGATCTTCCTGCATGAGAACAGGGATGTATTAGCCTCCCATAATTCTAATAGTCAAAATTTTTGATGCGGAAAAAGAGAACTCACCTAATGTTTCCAAAAAGAAGATCGCTAAACCAAATGACGAGCTGGCCACAACAGCTAATGCAGTTCCGATCCATGACTCCATAGCCATTACAGAAACCACTGGAGAAAGATGATGCTTACTCTTTTCAAAACATGTCTTTCAATGCGTGTATGTAAGCTTCTCTATATATGTTAGCGTTCGCCACAATCACATAAACAATGTCGAGGCGGAGGCGGGTGTAACTAAATCCTCTTTCTTGGCAAAACATAAGCTGGCTTCATGGCATACCCTCAGGGATCTGGGAAGAGATCGCTCTGCTCTGAAATGAGAAGCTTGATATCTGCTGCTATCAAAGTCCATATATCTCATCCTATTCTCGGTTCATATTGTTTGTCTTTAATTTTGCTACATGAATACCTACTCCTACTCCTACTCCTGCTCCTGGATACTGATCAAATCGGAATGTTACATTTTACTGGTTAGGGTCTTTTATCTTTTCAAAATAAATGGCTTAAGGATAATGAGAAAATATTTTTTGCTTTCGACTTATTAAGACTTGTTCAATGGTCACCCAGAGTCCCTAGTGTAATTGAACCCTTGCCACCTCTCTCTAATACCAGGGTCCAGAGCCTTTCCTTCTTTCATTGAATTCTATCACACGCAAAAATAAAAGCCATATGACTTTCAGAGTCAACAAGGTTATATCCAGACACAACTTGTTTCCTCCTCCGACATCCCATCAAAACACCCATTAAACAAACTAATAGACACATACATTTGGACAAATTCAAATTACAGACATATATTTTAGGCATCCTCGTTTCACGCATCCTCTATACAATTAACATGCTGCAACTGCAATGTCTGATTGCTTCAATGAATAAACGGCTAACTAATACTTACCCACGGTTGTCAAAGAATAGAACAGATTTGTATTCAAGATCAAATAATGAATCAACATATACAAACGCAAATCCTCCCTCAACTGGAAAAAAAAAAAATAAAAAAATTTGAAATCCTAATTTTATGGCCATGCATACATCAAATTACAGAATGGTGGTGTCCTGCAATACAATGATAAGAAAGGGAGAAACCAAACAAAAGAACAAAAAGATTGAACATCGAAAATTGAAATGAAAAAGGGAAAGCTTACTATGAATACAAGGACTGCTAGCAATTTCGCAAGGGCCTTCAGTTGCTATCTAATTTACAAAAGGCTAATCATTTGCACATTAGGAACTCCCATGAGATTTTATGGATGATATTGATTGTGCCGAGATCGATGCAGTTGGGCTGCTCAGATCCCGGTCCCCATTAGCAACTTTTGGCTTACCGCTCAGCCTTTCCATTGCTTCTTGGCAAATGTCAGTGAACCATTCATCTTCCGGAAGTATGCTGCACAACATTAGGAGTCGGCCTAAAGGAAGCTCAAATTTTACACATACCAAAACACAAATATGTAAGTAGAGCTTACTAATTATTTACTCTAAAAGTCGAAAGAATTTTTTTCCCCCTTTCAGGCGGATACAAACATAGCCAGATGCTCAGTTATCAGGCAGTCATTACCCACACGCGCGCCGGGGTTGGGGGGGGGCTCAGGGAATTCATAAATTTAAGATCTGTTGATATATAACTGAAAATTCCAAATTGAAAATTCACAGACTTGATGCTCTAAATTATGGTGGCATACCTGTATGGATCCATCCCAGTTGCAGCAAAAGCAGCCACCACTTTAGATATGATCTCATTAACAACTCGATGCAAATTGCGAGATAAGTAACGCCCTTGGGAGGCAAAGCAGATTACAAACTTCATATCCAAATAGAACTGCACAATGTTCAACAAGTAAATCAAGATGCTAACCTTCAAGAGAGAAAAAAAACAAAATGCTCAAATTTTAAACCTGGGCAGAACAAAACAAATGCAAATACATAGGTGTCAACTTTATAAACCTGTTGAATACCAAGAGGACCTAATGGCCTTGGTCCTTCTTCGATATCATCCCAAAAACTTTGGTCTTCTGAAAGCCATAAGATGACAGTTTCTGTAAGCCTCATCAATAACAATGTAGCAAACCTTTCCCTGCCAACAAACATATCTGCTGCTATGGTAGCCATCCTATTAAGTTTTGTATAGAGGTCCTGAATAAAAAGAGAAACAACAATGAAAAGTAAGAGTTTGCAATTAAGAGTAACAAGAAAAATGCAAAATGTGCACTAGTTTTTTATAAGAAAAATCCCTCATTAAAACAAAGTAACAAGCATAAGAAGTTGGTCTCGCATCTTAACCAGTTTGCAATCGAAAGTCTTTATTCCACTACTTGGATTCAGCAGCACAAGTCATCGTTTAGTTGATCAAGAACCGTCTGTAACACGCCGCTCTCGACGCATGCAAACTAAAGTTCTCTTGGGAGACTTGTATTTAGGAACCTGCTGTATTAACCTCTGAATACTTCCCATCTGACTACCCTGATGGGTTAGGGCCAAAATAAAACTCCCAAAAACAAAGCACCTCTACCAAACAGCAACAAATAAAAGAAGAAATATAAGGATAAGATAAAGAAAAGATACATTCGTCTAGTGAAACATACAACAGATCCTGTGCATCAGGCACACCTATTCCGGATATCAATGAAAGACACAATTTAAAGGGTATGACGAATATGAAAACATTAAGTTCAAAGTCAATCAACCACACATTTTTCTGAACTAGGAAAAGACTAATAGTTGTGTACCCACTACTTAAAATCTAATTGTTGAATCATAGTTCATACGATGCATGCATACAAAAGCCAAGATGCCAAGAGAACCATTCGTCCACCTCAAGGGCAAACATGATCCATATAAATTGTGACATCTGTAATAAAAATTTAAAATACTGAGAATCCACCAAAACAGGCAAAAGGGTGCAATTCATAACTAATCAAAATACTCGGAGCATGGTGTCAGTGCACTTTAAATATATCAAAAGCCAAGTTTCAGTCCTAATCAGCCTCATTCTGCAATAAGTGATAAATGTGTAATTATTTGGTCTTCTTGTACAGACAGCATACTCGGTGTCACAGGTACTGTTTGGATCGACCACATTAAACCCAAATGCAGTGGCTAGAATAAATTTTTAACATTAGATTGGAACCTTCGACATGCAAACATGCACTGGTGCATACAAGTATGTGTGAGAGAGAGACGGTGTGTGTGTTTTGTTGTTTTGGGGGGGGGGGGGGGGTCCAAGATAAACAAAGTGGAAACAGCTGCTCTGCTTGTAAAGGTAAGGCTACGTATATCTAACCCTCCCCAGACCCCGCAGTGGTGGAAGCCTTGTGCACTGGGTCCAAGATAAACAAAGCAGTTAGTACCACGTTTTTAAAAAAAAAATCTCTACAATACATAAAACAGAATAATGTTTCTACATATAGAGCCCCGCTCACACATCTATAGTTACTAAAACAGAGTGGCTTGCTTACATAAAGCATAAGAGCAGGACAGGTCGATTAGATCTGACAACTTATATTTTAACCTTTAAACAACGATAAATCTATCTATTGACCTTTAAGGCTTTAACCTTTTAGCCTAAATATGATTATTATACTTACTTTTTAACCACAATAAATATTTTAACTACAGTAAATATTTTAACCATGAAAAACATGTAACCATAAGGAGAAAAACGTGAAATCACTTACATAACAGAATAATCCAATTAATTAGTTTCGTACGAATGATTAGGTTATCATAACAAATGGCACATGCTGCAATTCACTAACAAGTGCATGCATCTTTCAAAACTGCTCTAAGCAAGGATTATCAACCTCAGAGATTAGACTAAAGGCACACATTGATAATGCTCAGAGGCTATGATGGCACAAAGACATCGTTCTGAAAACTTCAATTCACCTGAATTTGAGGTTTTCCACAAACAGTTCATGATTTAATCACCTTTACTTATAAAACATGACAGGTCACAAATCAACAAAGCCTTGTCCCAACATCGGTGGTGTCACCATGTCAGCTACATGAATCTTGTTTGTTATTGTGCTCTACTGCTCTAATATATAGTAAGAGTCATGTTTTCTATAAAACCATAAGTTATCATATCTTTTGTTACTATTTCATTTAAATTAATTTTAGACTTCCTCAACCTCTACGCTTATCGTCAATAGCTATCATATCACTCTTTCTCACCAGTGTCGTAGTAGACCGTCCATAGATATTTCCAAACCACCTAAGTCGATTCTTCCTTAATTTATCTTCTATATGTGCTACTTCCACTTTTTCACAAATATATTTGTTCCTAATTCTATCCTTTCTAGTTTTACCACATATCAATATTAGGTATTAACATTCCCACTCCTGTCAAACTTAATTTTTGAATGTGTTATTTCTCAGTTGCCTGAACCTTTACATATCTCTACTAATAATAAATATCTAGGTTACCTGATTTGGGTTAAAAAAAAAAAAATACATTAAAACAACATGACTATATCGGTCAAATTAAGAAATAGAATGAATATGAGCATGAAATAAGATGAGTTGATATAGGAACAAGATTTTGAAAGCGAGCATAAGCATACAATCCTTTATTACATAACAATGCAATGAGCATCTAGGTCCTATAATGATAGTTAGAATGGAATCTAAAGTGACATGTTCACCTAAATGGAACGAAACAATTATTCATAGTGAAGTAATTGTGGTCAAATCAACAGAACAGAAAAATTGAATCAACCAAGAGTAGGGGTATCGAGTACTCAAATTGTCTAATTGAAGAACTCCGAAACAACATTCAATTATAAACATTACTCTATTCACAATCTTCTAGGTATGAAAAGATGCTCACAAATATAAAGAAATGTACACAACATCCTAAAAGACATATAGATTACCAAATGTGATTTTAACAAACTAAAAGGAAACATTTTAATAACGTTGAGATAAAACCACATTTTGACATCAACCCCTAAGAAGTACCTGGAATATTGAAGAGGGAAACCATTCAACTTCATCCACATTTCCATCCATGTTTATGTACATTTCTGCACTAAGATGGCTATCACCATCCTCTGTAAAAATAAGATCTAGAGCATGTTGTCGACAAAAACTATCTTTTAATCTATCGACTGAGCTCAGGAGACGTCTCTTCCATTCCCTTTGCTCTGGATGACGGTTTTGCCTATCTGAAGGTCTTTTCCGAGCATCATCTTTGTAGTTAGCCGGATTCAGCAGCGCGAGCTTCATAGCTGGACGAGGTAACAGTTCGTCTGCTAATAAGGACGCATTTGCAAGCAATGCAATTTGCTGGGCTTCAGTCTCAGCCATTCGAACAATTTTATTTCCAGAACCTTCAAAGTTTGCTTCTTCTTCCATTGAACCCGGTAATGCTTTGATAAGCATGTTAATGTATGAGTTAAACACCTGGAACAAACCTTCTAATGTTTTACCTCCCAACTGCATACTTAGAAGTGGCCCCACATCCTCGAAGAAATCCTGCAAGGAATTGGAATATAAAGCAATATGATTCAGACTGGTAGCTCACCAATGTAAAACAGTAATCATATAGCAGATACAATTGACCACTCTAAAATTAGAAATTGACTTTCGAGATGGTAAAACTGAGATGCTCAGAGAAAAAGTAACATGCCAAAAACCAAAAGATCTAGGTGCAATTTAAGTTCTCCTAGTGTTAAAGGTGGGGCTACTACAAGGCGCGGAATCCCTTCATCTACCACGTAAACAATCCATAAAAAGAAAGCAACCAACTATGAACACAGAAATTTTGTGTATTAAACATAATTGTTAACCTAAACTGGATATCAGAAGAGTACTCAACAAGTATGCCAAGATAGGGAGCAAAAAATACTCAGGAATATAGCTCAGCAACCGAGATGCCTGAATAAGGAGCATATCCTTGGACTATACAAGTCTTTTAAGGTCAAATAAACAACAAAGTGAAACAAGATATTGCTCAGTTCAAGAGGGATAGGCCACATAAATGAGCACACTGCAAAAATAGCAAACAATTACATAAAGGGGACAAATGGAAGCGGCTGGAATCTGAAACAAGCAAAGTTAAATTAGCAAGCCTTACGACCTAACAGTTTTGGATTTGGTTGTATGAATCAAATCATGATCTATCAACGTCTTGGGTGATTTTCGTGCCATCCATGAGCACCTTTCACCCTTAAATGAAATGATGCCAATTTCTGAGAGGCCAGCAGGGGGAAGAAAAGGGGCTTCATCTTATTCGGTCGAAACTCTCATCGCACTTCTTCTAGGTTGAAAAAAAGGTCAAAGTTGTGATGATTTTACAAAAAAACCCTTTCTATATGTCTAATAGTGATCAAAAAAGGTCTGAATGATCTTAAATTGAAAATTTGAATTTTATTATTTGTTTTAGTATTATTATATTAGTTAGGAAATATTTATTTGACTAGGAGTATTAATTAGAGTTAGAGTTTGACTAGGAAATTATTATTCAGTTTTAGTAGGATAGAGGTTTGAGAGTTTGGTTATGAAACTATTTTAAAATTTTATTACGAAAGTATTTTTTATTTTAGTAGGATACTTGGCCTATAAATATTGTTGTATCTCTACTAATTAGAGAGTGATATAATAAAAAAGTGTTTCTCTAGAGAATTTTATGTTTCTTGACCGATTCCTTGTGAAGATGAGGTAAACCTCTACTTCTTCTCTTCTTCTTCTATTCTCTCAATCCTAGTCCTCCTGTCCCACATCAATAGTAATCTTTTGAGTGACACTGTCAGCTGTGTTAATATTGCTACAATGCAAAATCATACAGAATCTTGTTAAAAAATGTCAAAGTTTTGTTATTTTTACAAAAACCCTTTCTATATATCAGTAATCTTTTGAATGTTACATTAGCAAGTATTTTGAATGTTGTTTTTTATTGATATACTGTTCAAGCATGTTTGAGGCTTGATGCATTTGGTGCCTGGCATAATGTCAAACACAGTGTCTCCACAATGTTTGCATGCTACTAGAGAAAGAAGCACATGTGTACCATATATCAATCAAAAGAGGAAGTAAGGGCAAGCTTGTGATTCCACAAAATATTTCCATTTCACTAACCGGAAGAAAAAACTCATTACCAACAAGCAAAGGCAACACAGTCTTGTGGCAGCACCCAACATCGCAAAAACTATAAAAGATGGTTCAAATAACTCAAGTGATTGTGCATGCATATATGCGCGCGTAAGCAAAAGACAGATTATATTTTGGTAGGCATTAGAATTTACACAGCAGCTACAATGTTTACCTGGACCATCAGATTGAACCGATGAGCACTACTTGAAAGTTTATGGTGATATGCAGTCGTAGTTCCCAGAGACGTACTGGAAGGCCTGACAGATTGGCGTGTGACAGTGGGAGGAGAGGTGAGTTCCCAATCATCAGCCGCAGCAAGAGCAGCAGTGCTCTCTTCAATTCGCTTCAAATTAGCATCTAGTGCTTGTTCAACACTAGGTCTAAAAAGTTTCAGGAGCACAGGACAAAGTGCTAAACCACGATCTTCCAACAATGAACAATGACCTAAAGCTATTTGAACGCATTCGGCAGCAGCTCTTAAACCTCCAGCAGCTGCAGATGAAGCTAAAGCGTGTCTCTTAACAAGAAGCGCAAAGGCCTCAGTTTGCTTTGTAGCCCACATCACCAGCTCCGATGTATAAGCCGGCTCCTTACCAAAAATGGCCAAAGAATCACTTGCTGCTTGAGCAACAGCAGAAAATACCAGCTGTGAGAGGGCAGCAGTGTATGCTCCTCCATATGAGGTGCTTGATGGACGCAGACTTTGCATGTTGTACTGATATCTTTGGAAATGTGCATTGAGTAGTAAACAATGAGCACGAGGGCCATCCCCAAGCCTTTTAAGAGCGGAAATAGCTGCGCGAAGCTCAGCACCACGTGTAGAATGTTGGCAAGCAGCTTCAGCAAGCTGATCAGCTAATTTTTGCCTACGTTCCATAATTGCAGTCTGTAGTGACAAAAGCATAGTAGGACTCAGGGTTTTTGTTTCTTTTGCTTCAGAAGCTACACGTTCTCCTTCATCAAGAGTTCCCAAAGCTTCATCCACTCTCCTTTCAGCTAACAAAACATCAAGGAGATCAGGAAACTCTATCAACCAGTTCTCTAGGTCTGAAGGTTCTCTACCATCATCATTACACAAACAATTGGCAGTGGGACCAACAGGAACAGCAATAGACATGGAATCGACGTAAACTCCCTCAGCTAAACCATGAATTAAAGTCGCTTGAGTAGATAGCAGGTTCCTGATTGATGAAAGCTCACCCTCCAAATCTGAAATCTCTTTTGCTGTGCTGTGTATAACAAAAAATTCAGATTATTACAAGTCCAAGTGATGTGCTAAACATGCAATCACCAGTAAGTTTTATAGATTACGATAAAGAAAATAAAACTCTCTCTTGAAAAAAAAGGCAGATATGGATCAAGAACACAATAGAAGAAAGTAGATAAAGATCAAACAATTCCCACAAACAAAGCCAAAAAAAATGTTGATTACAGACTATTAAAGAGATAATTCAGCAAACCAAGAAAGAGAAAAGATGAATAAATTTTAGGGTTAATGGTACTTTTGGTCCCTAAAGTTACATTTTTTGTCAGTTTGATCCCTAAAGTATCAATTTTGTCAATTTGATATTTAAAATGTTCAATTCGTGTCACTTTGGTCCATTATCACACAATTCGTTAAATTTTTTGACGGAAGTAACCACGTGTCACTCTTTCAGACGGTATCATGTTCCCAACACGTGATCATTTCATCAAAAATTTAGCAGTACTTCTATGTAGAGACTATTTTGACACGAATTGAATATTTTAGGGACAAAATTGATATTTTAAGGATCAAACTGTCAAAAAATACACACTTTAGGGACCAAAAGTGCTATTAATTCTAAATTTTATGTCTTCACTATGACCATGTCCAAATTCTCAATTGGTTAACAACCATCTTCATCCAATGTGATGGTGGTAAGAGAGAGAACTTTAGTTCTTCAGATTGATGATGAAGCTAAGTGCGTTGCTTGACTTATGCATCTGGTTTTAAATGGCCTCTTTCTTGGCTGGCTGGAGCTTATTGAAGCTATGAAGTATGAAGCTTTGTATAAATGACTTGCACTATATTGTTCAGACTCCGCAGAAGTAGTTCAGTTGGTTCCATAGCTATCTGTGGGTGTGATTTGATGTCTGCTGATGCCTAGTATGGTGTTATGCCATGTCTTTTACGCTATATCTGAATTGCTTATTCTGAAGTCATGACTTATCAAATATAGAGTATATGTATGTATGATAATATGCTCCAAGCACCTGTAACTAAGAACTCACCGTATAAAGGCTGTATAATTAGCATAAACACTTCTGCGCATTTCCTCAGCAGAAGCTTTCTTCAAATCCAAAAGATATGAGCATAGATGCCTTATTTCCTGCGAATATAAACAGAAAATTATTATTGCTACAAGTTTTTTTTTTTTGGTGTTATTAGAAAACAAAAGAATTCTTGACAGCAATACACCTAGCTTTTTGCAATATATGTTAGAAGGCCAAAGATTCTTATTAATCTCATGTCCCCCCCCCCCTTTCTCTTTGGGGTTCTAAAAAAAATACACACAAAAGATATATGATCCAAGTGCAAAAATGTTAGTAAGTCAATTTAATGATAAATACTGGGCTGAAATCAAAACCTGCTCGATTCTATTACGCGTGACAGGACTAGCAAGATGCTTTATATTCCCCATACAATTTCAACACAACTCAGTGAGCATGTGAAGTTTCTAGATTAGTTGATATGTATCAGTCGCAAGCCAAAAACGCAACTATATACAGCACTGATTCAAAATCATAGACAAAGCTCCAATGCTTGAACTCGTAAAATGCTCCAAAATCAACCAAGGAAGTTTTGCCATTTTAACAATGGATGACATCAGCACAGCATTTCTTTTAAAAATTGTCATATTGAACAACTAGCACAGGAGAGGATGACTATAAGTTCAACACCCAATCAAGTGCGACCAACATCATAGTACAGTTAGCATACGGGCCTATCCGAGGGGAATCAAAAATAGATCACTGAATTACCTAGGATTCTCCGCATTACCTTGATCTAGACCCCCTATTAGTACTACCTACACCCAATCAAGTGCGACCAACATCATAGTACAGTTAGCATACGGACTTTCCACTCACAGTATCTAAAGTCACATAATTTGGTTGTTTTCTAATGTCCAGACATATACAAAGCACCAAAACCTTGATGTGCGGGACATAACACCTTGCATAAACACTAATAAAGGGACCAAGTTGGTTATCCGCCTCCCTCAATAAGTTTCATTTGTTTTTCTAATATTATCTTTTCTAAATTGGAAATCCTGATAGTTAATAACAATAAGTTGGTAGGTTAATCTTCGTCTAGCAAAGGATAGCAAAATAAATTGTGAAAACATACTTTTCAGTATGTCCAAAAATAAGTGTACTCGCACAAATTTATAAAACCAACTAAGCTTTCTAGGAGGGAAATATCTAATATCTCCAAAATCAAAATTTTTTAAACGGAAAAAAAATCATAATTAGTTATCAGGTGTCTTTCGATTACAAGAAAACAGATGAAGGGGCTAGTGGCCCATCAATATGAATCACTACACAAAAGATTGACCTACATCATGCGATTCAAGTTTCAGAATTAAATTTAATTAACATTACAGCAAGATAAAATAGGGCCACACAGACCTTCTCGTTCAGGGAATGACATTTGGACTGTACATAGCCGTCAGCATCGAAATTATCGGACTCGAAGACGTTGAGATTTTCCTCCAGCTTCGAGCCAGTCTCCTTGGGGTTGCCTTTCGCTGGGGCCCCCGATTGCGCCCTTGACCTAGACGACTTCATAGAAGCCATGATTGAATTGGTCTCTCAGTTCAGATCCGATTGAAAGGGCAACGGAAATTTAGGGTTTAATTTGACGAGAATCAAAGGAAATGGTTGGCCTTCTCGCACTTATCAAACGATTAGATCTAAAGAGTTAGAATGGGCTGCGAAATTGTTCCGATAATAGTGAATTGAGCCTTTGCCATCGATGATTGATAGAGAATATCGTTGTGTGAAAATTCTCAGCACAACCCTATAATTGGATATAAATTCAAACACAGCTCCTATATTTTCTAAAATTTTACCAACATCTCTACAAGAGTTCGTCTCATAACAGAAATTACTGCATTTACAAAATTGCCCATAAGATATTATTTTGCCTATTAATATTATCACCTATAAAAATCACCACCCCAGCCCCCACCCCCATCAACCTCCCACCACCCTCCACCCTCCTAAGAATTCATGTCATCTTCCTAGGATCTATTGATAAAAAAAATAAAAATTTATCTTAGCTTTGAATGAGCCAATGATGTACCCCAAGAATAATAACTCAACTTTCACATCCATTTTTCACTCATAAAAAAATAAGTTATTCTCCGTATGACTTTTTATTATTACTCACGCAGAGTTATTAGAAAAATTTCTATGTGTTTTAGATGTTTCTCCTGATATAGATATAAATAAGATGTTGTTATCATAGACTATTATGAGTTTATTCAATTTAAATAAAGTTTAACCAACGCATAAAAAAATACAAGTATGTTAGACCTTTATAATAGGGTCGAATATCATTCATATAACCCCTACCTTGTCTTTGAGAGGGACTTCCAACACCTTCCACTTTGTAATATCCCAACTTTAAATTTTTCTTGGTGAACTATCGAACTCCCTCCCACTACCCTCCCCAGCCCCACTCTTATCAACCCCAAATTGCAATGAAAAGCTCGGCATTTAGTCCATGTCTTTAGAGGAAGTTTGATTTCTCGAGGGTCCTCACATGGTGCGTCAATGGTTCAAAATGAAAATGATGATTTTTTTTTTCATTTTTTCCTTGTCGATGTTGGTGAATTTTGGTTGATTACATTGGTTTTGGTCTAATTGAAAGGGTCCAATTGGTTTTAGTTGAATGGATTTGGTTTGACTGTGAAATTGATTGACTTGCAGCAATGTGTTTATATGTGAGAGATTTTTCGTTGTGACATGGTATTTGATAGAGATGGCGATAAAAGTTTTGCAGTGTATGCACATGAGCGGTGAGGATTAGTGGAATTGAAGGCAAAGATGAATCGATAGAGATGAGAGTGTATTTACGCAATAAATAATGTGGTGTGTTGTGGTTTATTAGCAAGATAGAGTATACAAATGGTAACATTAGTAGTATTTTCAAAAGATGCGGTTATCCACGTTTTAGTAGATTTGTAATACCAATGGACTTTTGTCCAATAGTATTTCTTACTTTGTAAAAATTTTGTTTTCTTGAAGTCAAGGGTTCAAATCACCTTCCCAAAAACAAAAGTAGATTTGTAATCGATCACAATACGAATATGATACAGGTTCAAATGTGAAAGTTTTCGTCAAAACATTTGATAAAATACATAAAAATTTAATTATATAACTAAATTAGATATTATCTCATGTTTATCATGCTTGTATTTGTATTGTGGATGAAAAAAAATATATATATATTGATTTTTTTACATTGGAGATGATATTATATCAATAAAATTGTCCATGTGTATTAATATTGGATTTTCGAAAAAAAAAAAATTATATATCTTGTTGGTTGAGTTGGTTTGATAGTCAATTGAAACAAATCCAACGCCTAGGTCATGGTCATGGCTACTTATCTACGAAATTTCTAATTTTATCTCTGTAAACACATTTTCCAGAAGGGAACGAAAACTTAACAACTAAAACCTGATTGGCACATGTAATTCAAGTGGAGACACAAACATCCTGTACCTTAAACTCAGCAATGCACCTTTTTCAATGGAGCTGCCTCAATGGCTAATTGATTTAAATGTTCAAGCAGCCAATAATTGCAACAACAATCACAAAGGGTTGGTATGAGTTGTTTTCTTCCAACTACTATTGTCTACGTCTAATATTTTGGAAGGAGTAATGCTACATGAACTTAAAAAGTAAATTTAAAAATTAAATTTGATAACCTCAACCATTGATTTCACTGTGGGTCTCAACATTTATTGGGACCCACTACCTATTCAATTATTGAGATTATCAAGTCTAAATTTTAAGTTTAATTTTTAAGTCCATCTAGCATTACTCATTTGGAAGTTATTGGTCCACCTTGAACTTGGCATGGGTTAACCTATAACCAATGAATTACATATCGTTGTTTGTGGGTTGAAGGTGGGTAATTATAATATGATAAGATAAAAAAGTACATGAGACCCGTATACCTCACATTTGATAAGTAAAAATTGAATAAAAAATCTCCATACCATCTGTCACCACCTCAAATAAATCGTTGTTCTCTTATCTTCTCTTGCTTATTGTAACTGTGTAACACGCCCTTGTTTTTTATGATTACAGTATATTTAAAAATATTTATTTTATATTTGAATGAGTTAGTAAAAAAATAGAAATGACAGTTTTTGTTTGGAATAGGTTGGAGACTAATTTATAAATCAAATATAGTGGTGAATTGAATAGAATGAAAATAAAGCAAATTACATTTCTCTTATCTATGAGTCCCACAAAAATGTATAAATTATTCAAATAAGGGAAAGGACTAGATATACAAATTATATCCTATTCGGAAGACAACCGAGTAAATTTATATGAAATAAAATAAATATTTTGTTAAATATCTAACTCACTTAAACTCTATTATTTAAATACTAGAGGTAACCCGTGCCTGAAGGCATAATGCAACTAAAAAAAATTAAATATTGAATTTGAACGCAAAATAATCAAATATTGAATTCGGACACATACTAAACTGAAAGCCTAATTCTATCTTAATAAATATTTCACGTCTAATTCTCACTTCTATCAAACATATGGTGGGCGGTGTGTGTTTGTTAAGTGGGTGTGATGTATGGGCTGTGTGTGCAGGCTGAGTGTGAGTTGTGAGTGTTGTGTGTGTGTTGGTGTGCATTATGTATATGTGTGAAGTATATAAAATTGATGGGAGTTCAACAAATGGAAAATGAAACCAAATTTATTAAACTAAATCCAACCAAACCACTATTATTCAACCACCTACTTCTATCAAATATTCAATTACAAATAGAAATTTAATTCAATCAAAAATAAACCTAACATTAAATTTCAAAACCATAACACTAACATTCAATAAAAAAATGATACTAACAACTATAATTTCCCTAACTTTATTCAATGAAAATCCAACCACACTCCCTAATATGTTAATCATGCTTGACAACAAGCATTTTGCTCCTCATAATATGATTTTTTGTAAATAATAGGAACATATAGTTTCACTTAATATTCAACAGAGCATCAAATAATCTTGACTTTAAGAGGAAGGTCAGTTACAATGTTGTTGTAATGCATAATCCAACGATAAGATGATGTCCTAGTTTAGAATTCATTAACCACGACAAAGCTTGAAAGTGCAAGGTTCATCTTTGTTCCTCATCTAAGTAAACTTAGTTCCATCAAGCAACATGGGTATATAGTGAACTGAAAAACACAATGATGAGAACACATTTATGCCAAACCAAAAGAAAGAGGCTTTAGCAATTAATATCTCAAAAACATACACCACATGAAATGTGGCTTCTCTGTCTCTTACTGCACCAAATGTCGTTACAGAAGGCAATGCCTTTAAGGTTCAAAAGAATATTCAATACAACTAATCAAATAATAGCTTGCTTTTCTTATTTTGAACTAGAATCAAACAACAACTCAATAACATTCAATCACAACTTTTACTGCTAGAACCATTTTAATGGAACCAAAAAATTGCCAATCTAACACAACCCGATAAGAAAATGCAATTTAATCCATAACCATCACATAATTTTCCAAGTTAATCAAAATAACAAACCAAATGCAACCCAGAACACAACTTGTTACGATCCCGCAATAAAATTGATGGGACATTTCCAAGTACCTCAAGATGAAGACACGTGTCCTCGACATCAGTAAATTCTTGTTACTATAATCACGACACGTACCCGTCGGATCACAATTCTCTGTTTTCCCGAGGTACTGTTCATAGGGATCAATGACACCCAGTACGTTACGTACCGACACGTATCCCTTGGTCGGATATGGGTACATCGGTCCCTACATGTACCTCTCCCCTCGGTACTGAGATGTACCCGTCTAGGATGACGTTCTTTACTCTTGCAGAGGCTATTGATGTACAGGTCACTAGCTTATGCTAGACTAAGTTAGCTATCATGACCTCGTCTTACAATTGGTGTCAGAAGGCACAAAAAGGCAGAGGACACAGCCAATGAAGAATGAACGCGTGGCATATTGTGTCACATTAGAGACAAAAAGATCGGATGCCCTTGCTGACACACGACTTGGGAAAACAAGTATTTAATTACACCATTCTCTTGATGAGACAACATTTAATGCGGTAAGACTCGGAAGTGAAAGGTAATAAATATCTCTAAGACTGGACATTTATTACATCATTGCCGAAAAGAGCTCATTAAACAGTCAACAGGGCGATGACACAGCCTTGGTTGCTTGGGATCCCGAGCAATTAAAAGAGAAAACATTCCTCATAGAAATCAGTGCGCACGTTGCCCGTATCTAATGATCACCTACTGACCACACTGACAGCAATCATGAGTTTTTGAGGTATAAATACTCCTCATAAAAGGCAAGACGGTATGCAACGAAAAACCTTTTCTCGAACCTATACTCAGTGTTTTCTTCTTCCCATCTCTCAAAAATTGACTTGATCATCGGAGGGGATACGCCAAAAAATACTCCAACGCCATTCTAACTTGTCTTTCTTTGTTCCAGGAACCTTCATCAGCCTTACTGGACCGCTCCCTTGATCCACGAAAGTCATCCATTACCGTTCCAGGCCACCAACGAATCTCAGCCTGTTCCAAATAGCAAGGTTGACCATTTGATTGACTGACTCGAGTTCACCACGGGAGAGATCTATTCTCGTGTTTATATTATGCAAGATCCTGCACGCACAATCTGGCACCGTCTGTGGAAAATGACTAGTTTTTCTAGTTTTTTCTCTATAAAGAACAGTGACCATGGTGAATACTCGA